ACAATTCCCTTTCACAAATAATGCAAAATAATGGTGAAAACCTGTTAAAATGAGATAGGAATTTAGCACAGCCATTAACAATGTCCGAGAAACTATTTCAGTGGTCGCGAATAGCAGAAGTAATGGCACGGTGCCGCAACAGTCTGAAGGCTATTAATTACTGAGAGGCTGGTGAGCCTTTTGATCACATGTTCGAAGTAGCGATCTTGGTAAGACACTTGATAAGTGGTGAGAAAGGTGAGTGGCAGGATGAGGCCAACACGACGCCTTCGACTATTTTGCGATTTCGATGGGTCTGTCGACTGGGCTGATGCTGTGTTTCGGCAGCAAGAGATAGTGTATCGGAGCAGTTTACTCACCATCAATGACTGATGAGACAATCGGGGACGATTTTCCCTTATAAGGCTCATCCACTTCTCAACATACTTTGTATGCATGTAACATTCGACAAGGACAGTCTGGAATGATGGGACCTTGCACGATCTTCAAGGCTCTGTTGAGCCTTTCTTTAACCGACAACAAGGAAGGACAAGTCAAGCGATCTCACCCAAATAATATCGCATCACTAAACAGTTGGTTTTGAATGGGAGACAAAAAAGCACGAAAATAAAGTTCTTTTTGCCTTCTGGAAAACTTCCAAAGGAACTGCCAAATGCACATGCTTGTGAGTGTGGATGAGTCGGTTACAATGAAGACGTACTGAATTTCAATTTCGCAGTACAAACGCTTTCCCAACTCACCTTTTCACCGGTTTTTTATACCCGTTTTTCTTTTGGTAAATTCATTCAATTACCGATGTCTTCATCCGAAACTTTGCAGCGTGCCCAAAACGCATTCTCCTCCAACTTGGATAATCAGAGTCGGATTACTTTAATTGTCTGGTGGCCCTGACATTTCTATTTGTCAGTTCATTCAATTGTTTAACCAATTTGCTTTCTTTACTTCGTTTGTCTGGTTTTTAAGTACTTATAGATATAAGCAGAGAGGTTTTGTAAGATCGCTTTTTCTAAAGCCTCAATGCTTATAAATTAAGCTTAAACTCCAGTTTAGAGCGGTGCAACATTTTTTCTAAGTCCTTGTCTTCAAAATATGTTGTCAATCTTATATGTTCCTCGGAAAGGCACCTTTGCTAAGAAACAATCACCTCTTTCTTTAGGTACTGCTGGTACAAGCCACAAAATCGTAGCCAGGCGCCCACATCATCGTGTTGGAAGTTTATGCAGCTCCATCTTGTGTATAACGGACGCGATTACTAAAGCTGTCTGGTAGTGTCTAGTCCTAGAGCCCCGTCTTGACCCACCCAATGTCATCAAGATGATGAGTGAGACAACTCTCCATTCCCTCAGCGCAAATTCGCTGACTAACCCCGGTGGGGACAGGAAAATCAAATCACTTGAAGGAGCCTAAGGATTTTGATGAAATTGTGCCTTCTTAACTGCCACAAATACCGCTTCAGCAGTTGGTATAAGCCTACACTATACACTAAAGGCGACCTGTTTGCTTCCAGGAAGTCAGCATCTAATACTGCTTGAACTGTAATACCGCTCAATTACCGGGAATGGTGGAAGAGTTCCTACCTGACAAAACCCCAAAAAGGGTTAATAAATGTTGGAGTCTGAGGTCTGACTGCAGAGTGGAGCACCCTTGTCCAACCCGTCAACTGAAGCATTCGGGTGACAATGCCGAAATCTCTCAACCCTCTGTCACCGCCGTAGTGATAGAGCACCTGCTTACACACATGATCGTGGGCTAAAACAGTTGTCATTCTCCTTTAAATAGCCGCTCTTGTAATTTAGTACCGTCTGAGCGAGTCTATCAAGCAGTTGGTTCTTTGCTCATAGTTACGGTGTTCGAGGAAAACTCAAGATTTAAAAAGTGAGGGATGTCTTTGGACATGATGCATTAAACTACTGAGCCTTGCCAAACCAGCAACTCGGCTGGGCGCGACCTTTTAAATATCATTTAAGCAGTTCGGAGTATTTGACAATGATAGAAATTGTTAACAATTCCACGAATCGTTTGGCACTGGTTTAGCCTAAAAACTGGTGATCCAATAAATGATGCCCTTTATTGTATTGCGGTGTATTTAATGTTACATTTTTAAATAATGATAGCTAATTTCGCAGCCCTGAAAACGAGCCTTCAAATCTTCTTGCTATAAAGTCTAAGTGTAACACTTTGTCCAGCCAATCATTGAAATTGTCATGACAGACATAACAATTTAATTTCCTTTGGTCTAAAGGACTATAAGCTTAAGCAAATTTTGGAAAAGTGCTCATTAAGTGGAACTGGATCGCTTTCTTTAGTAAAAGAAAATCAACCGTTCTTCATTGATTAGGCCTCATTATAGGTGATAAGTTTGACAGTTAATTTTGCATAGCGCGTTACAGACCATCAAAGCCAACAGTTGGCCGCAGTTAGCAATTGTTGTGCAATTACATCATTCAATTTTTACTTTTTGTTGTAAGGTCTAACGCCGGTCCTGAAATCCTTAAATTACCAAAGTGAGTGGTTACTTGAATGGTAAACATAGGTTTCGATAAGAAGTGTCAGGAAAATTAATTAAGAGCTTTTGCGTATTAATCGACTCTGAAGCATGAAAGGAATAAAGCAAGTGAGCAAGACACTCGTAGACGCATAACAGTGAAAAATAAGGACTCACAGCAAGCGAATCGTGTATGGAACGATGTCTGAGATGACCATGTGGAGTAAACTCCTCCATTGCGCATGATGCGCAACCGGCACAAATGAATTGCCGATCTTCGGTGTGGTTTTTTAAACTCAGTCGATTCACCACACTCTTAACGTGGTCCGAATTCAGCCCACTCGTTGACCAATTAGAATCGACCCGACACTGATTGGTCCATTCCCGAGCCTTGGTGGTGGGTACCAAGGCTCCGCCATCGAGGCTCAATCTTCTCTCAGCTTCGCCCCAAAATCGCAAACAAAGTCTCCAAGTTCATCTTGCTAAAATATTATCCGTGAAGTAGTGAAAATGTTGCTCCAAGCCTAGGAACTTTGCAGAAGCGGTTTCATGTGAGAGGTCTTCAACTGGCAGTTCGGACTTCCAGAAAATGCTGGTGGCAGGAAGGAACGGCGTCAAGGCAACTTTTTTAAGGCATCTACATGAACATATAATTGATTACGGTTAATTAGTAACTGCATCGTCTCTAATCACCGGGACCAATTATTCAAATAAAGTCAGGCTGCCTCAAATAGTTTTGCAGCTTAATAGAACTCTGGGAAGTGATTGGTGAATAGCTTTTTTGGAACCTCATAAAGCTACGCTTTGCAAATAAGCATACATTGCGGTTCAAAATTTTTAAGTAGGCCTTATGTATTAGAGCTGGAGAGGAATTGGAGCAAAATAATTGGAAATGAAGGTCAGGGCACCCTTGAGTCATGCCTCACATGGTCCATTGCTCAAAGCGGCTTAGGATAGGATGCGTATTCACCTCAAAGAAGGTTTTATAAGTAGATTAAAAGGAGTGGTTTGATTAAAGCTAGTTATATGATTTATTTGATCGCTGCCGCATTTGAAACATCCGATAAATGGTTCCCGGTATTACATAATGCATAATGTAATAAATTTACATCAGAATGGCATTCAGCCGAGCTGTGCCAGGTAGAACGCACGTCAATTCCATTAGAACCTTATTTGAAGAGGGACCCTATCGTTAATCTCCCATTACCTTCGAATGCTGCAGATTGTCGAAAGTTTGCTCGATATTTTGATTAGCAGCAGTCATTAACTCTTGCGGCTTAATTTCATCCGCAAGTAGATACATTATAGGTTTTCCATGCCTCACTTATTGGTGTATCTTTTAAGAAACTGCCAAAATCGGTAGGTTTGTTTAGCGAACCATGCACTTCAGAATCAACAAGTACATTAGGGCTTGTTAGGTTTCTCATCAATTGAATAAGTTTGTAATGCGAAGCTCTAACAGGCAATAAAAGGGTAAATTAGGGAAGAAGTGTGCTATGGCCTAGAGCAAACTTTGGTGAACCGTAATCGGCCAGACTGAAAATTTCTTCCATGAACATGCTACAATTTTCAAGCTTCGAGAATTGATGTGCCTTAAGCACTTCCGGTTTTGGAGCCGTTTATTGCAGTTGCCAAATTTGCCATAAAGGGGGTAAATGGCACTCTGCGCATCTAACAGTTCTGGTCATAGTTTAAAAGACGCAGTTATAAGGGTGACAGATGAGTTGGATACTTGTGTGGATGTTGCCGTGAGCAGATTAGTCCTTTTTGTGCATGTAAGAATTTTTGAAGACTATCTAACTGAAACTGCTTAATCAAGTCGTAGCCACTGTCTACATTCAAGCAACTTTTCACGATTTGGTTGAATTGCGCCTAAAATTACAGCATAAAGCTCAAAATTTGGCGCCTTAAAAAGTGTGTGGTCATGGACCCATATTGCGATGATTCATGCTTACGATGCTGACGAATGAGGGATTTTCAACTATGAATTACGAACAAAATCCGAAGCGGAGATCAATATCAACTTACGGTAAAATGCTAGCGTTATCAAGGAAATGATGTCAAGCGTATAAAATGTAACCGCATGCTATTTGCTGGCTAGATCGGTGTTCATTTTGCTATCGTATGATTGAATTGGAGAGACGCAATCCCGGAATATATGTAATCAATCTAGCTTTATGCTTTGTTTCACTTAGCCACAAGTTCCAATGGAGAGCAAGTACTTTTATATTTATCAGATTGTCATTTATTTTGCATATCGTGCAAACAAAAGAAAATTCTGTTAGCTTGCATATACATCAACCCTAAAATTTTTAAATGAGATTTTTAATTGCTTTGAGGTACTGCAGAATTTATATGTGCTTGATTGCAAATCAACACCCACATTAAAGACAACACCAAGGTCATAGCTATTAGAAAATCAGCTCTACGCTTGAAATGGTGTGCTTAGGATCTAGCGCAAGTTTTACGTGATTCACGTAGTACTCTGCTTTCTAAAGTGTTGCACCCATTTGACATGCGTTCGAGTCAATCAAGGGAAGCTCTGCCTTTCTCGAATTCCACTTGCGTGTCTCAAAACTCTCTATTCCTGTCTGACACTGCTCTTTCCTTAAGTCGGTCTTTGAAGTCACTCAGCGGTCTCGGTCAACCAAAATCGGCCGTTCAGCGTCTCAGTTCTTGTATTGGAAATCTCGCCGACGCTATTGGAATGATTATAAGTTTCAGGGTCTGCGCCAACCTTTGTACTAGTTCTTGCTCTTATCAAGACGTGTAACAATATCTGGTTTTTTCCCTAGGACGATGCCTACGCTGCATCAGCCAGTGTCCCAAAATTAGCGCGTCTTCTTGACTCAACTTCTACCCCGGAGAATCAGTACAACGCATGCGTTATCTTGCACAAACTTTCCGAAAAAGAGGCGTCTCGAAATAGTTTAGCTTATTATCCCCAGGTGGACTTCATTTTGTTACTACAACGCTCTTAGTGGTGAAATTTGTTGACCATGGTACATGTTCCTCTTGTTTCTTTTACTAGATAATTGAGAGGCTGGTTCGTTTACTTCAAACAACACAGGATATCAACACACAAACAGAGGCAGTGTTGGCACTGCGCAAACTTTGCCATGCTAAGCCGGCTATCTCTGCAGTGCGTGGTGTTCTCTCAATCTCCAATCTTGTAGAGTTATTAAGGTAACTGATTATTGGACTTGTTGGTCGCCGTGATTTCGCCAGGGATGCGGTACATCGATAATTCAAGGTCATAGCCTAGTTTCTTTTGATTAAAAGTATATGCCTGGTGATTTGGCTTTGTGGATTTTCTGCAAGTGTTTGAAGGTACATTTTTCGCTGTATTTTTTGCCACAGGTTACTTGATACTCCTTACAATGTACAGTGGTATTTGCTATCTAAGATTTATTTCCAGTTGCTCTATCCGGCATGGGATTTAGGTCACACTAAAATCGTCATGCTTTATATGTTCCGTGAAAAGCTTGCGTTGAGTAAAACAACCATTGGAACGCTTCTATTCACTACCTAGTCATCCTACGGAGACCATTTTTCTTACCGCCCTCTCCATCCTGCATCGGCAGATGCTTTTTCTGCCGGATACAACGCGGGCCGAGGTAAAGGAGTGTGGCGGACCCGTCCAGCTAGCTAGCCTTCTCACTCCCGAGAAGATTGCTGATCCCGCCTGGCTGACAATTTGTGCTGACGCAATCCGCATGACTGCCTACGAGGACGCTGAAATCAAGGTGAATAGTCGGACCTATTTAAATTCTTACTCCATTAGCAGTGAGAACACCTAGTACCTACTCGCCAGAGTACAGAGCACGATTACTTATGAGTGTCTGCCATCACTGTACGCCCTTTCAATGATTCATCCAGATTTATAAAATCCAGTCTCTGATGTAAATTCCTCAAAACTTTCTCATCCAATTATGCGCATTTTTCCCCAATAAATATGGGCCATCCATTTTATTTTAGGCATTTAGGCTTTTCTTCAATAATGCGCCTATTATAGAAACTGAACCTCGCCGAAATTCTTTCAGCGCACACTTTTGTTTATTCGTTTCATCGTACTAAGTGTGCACTGTCATTCGAAGAATATTTTGTTTTCTAGCATTCTCGAACATCCATTGCTATAAACGTGTAGGAGTATTTGATCTCTTTGACGTAGTAACTTGTTTGTTTTAAGCCATTTTAAAGTGTCTCTGCGCTTCTCTCAGCTCAACTACGTATGCTGCTTTTATCGAATGCCCAAGTAAACCCTTTTTTATAAAATTTCTTACTTTGGTAACAAGCAAATATCGAATTGATCCTATTTTTCTAGTTTTTATTTAGTAGATGAGTTGCTTCTTACCGCCTCCTTGCCTTGGTGATTTTCACTTTCATACCATTTAAAAATACACCCTTGAAGGTGCTTCAAATGGGCTATATTCCGTGGACAAATAGTGATTTATTGTAATTCATACTGATTTCTAGTTATGTAGGAGGTTTACTGCTACTGCTCATTCTGTAGAATGCAGTGTCAGTGGTACTGTTGTCAAATCAACTCGTCAGTTATAGTTCAGGGGCGAAAGAGGTGAGTGATGGCAGTGTATTGCATGAAAATACACCCAAGATATGAGTGAAGTCGTTTCTCCTACAATTTGGATTTAAAAGTCACTGAAATGTTGCTAGTAGCAACTGGTGCTTGCACCTGTAGCGCCCTGAGACATTAAATTAGGCTGACTACATGTATTCTAGAAGGATAAGATTGAACTTAACCTTGGTATGGCCTGGAGGCCAGCCCACGTGTATCAAGGTAAGACAAATACAAAAGTTACTCCCAAAGGTCGAGTGGTTAAATAAGCAGAATCCTCATTTTTTTGGAGTTACTCAAAGTTTCTTGATGAAGTTTTTAGCAGGACTTGTTGTCATCAAAACGGTTGGTTGTGATTTTCATTTTTAAGCCCTTTCCACCTGCTTTGATGGTTTATAAAGGTTTCCAGTCAAATGAACAGTATTTAAGTAACATTCTCGTAAAATCAGTTAATTTCCTCTTGTGATATCAAGTAGGAGGGCTACAAAACACTGAATTTTCTTTTTGGCTCGGTCTTAACGCCGAGAGGCCTCACGTAAACACAAAAATTTGCATGCATGCGCGAGCACATATGTGCGTGCACACAAAAACAGCGTTTGAATTTTTTGCTGCAATGAATTTCGTCCATTCACGCGCGCGACGAGCGTTTAAGGTGCGTGCCTCACTCAACTCTTCTTATTACCGTCGACAATCAACCCGCCGGGTCACATCTGCCCACCGGCTTGTCCAAACCCTTTTCTAGTTCTCTAAAATCATGTTTTACTTAAATAAAACTAATAACTTGTATTTTAACGGCATCGGTCATGGTGCTATTCTTGCCTTAAAGTTGCGTAGGCCCTTCCATTTACTGTAACATTTCAATTATGCACTATTGGAATCCAAATCCCTCCGAATGCTCAACTTTGTTAGTCATGCTTGTTTTTAGCAGTCTTATTTCACGTTGATTTCAGCTCATTCTATTGGATTGCGACATTGCGGAAAAAGTTGTCTACCTCTTGAATGCGGGCCCAAAAAATGAGAAACTGCAACACGCGCTTGCGCGACTCGTCAAAGTACTTAGCGTTTCAACGGAATGCAAACAAGGACTAGTGGAAGCTGGCGCCGTTCAGGTTCGTGTAATGAAAGGAATGCCACTTAAGCCATATTTACATATTTGTTTAAGACGCTTGAGTGTTCTAGGCGCTGACTCAACTCCTCAACTCTAAGCACAATTCACTTGTTCTGGAAACACTCTGGGGTCTGCGAAATCTGAGTGATCAAGCCTTTCATTTGACCGATACCACAGATCTTTTGAAGCTTCTTGCATCCCTGGTCTCTTCATCTGTCGAACATATTGCGATTTGTTCAATTGGGTGTCTATGTAACCTCACTTGTCAGAATGCCACCAATAAGGCTACCCTTATCGAGGCAGGTAAGAATGGTAAAGCTTCATAGATTGGAGTTGCTCTCGTAAAATACTGTACAGCCTTCCCTTGTGGATATTATAGATGGTGTTCGTGCGCTCTGTGGTTGTCTAACGGCCTTCTTAAACCGCGATGAGGTCACTGAGCCCATCTGTTCTGCACTGCGGAACCTAACTCATCAAAATGAACACGCATCGCTTGCTATACGTCAGGTAGCTTTAAATTCTTTTTTTCACTTATCGAAGAATCAAAACGGATCAATGACTTCATTTTAATGCTTTCATTTCAGATTCACGATTTTGGTGTTCTGAAGACGATTGTTGGTCTTTTGAAATCCGATCAATTTCCAGAACAATTACCTCTTGTCAAAGCAGTCATTGGTCTTATTCGCAATCTCGGATTGTCAAAGCCTTGCCGACGTGCTTTGCAGTAAGCATAAAGCTAGATTTTAACATTTATTGTAATACCTTGGTCAAAAAAGCCTTGGTCTCCTCACATTCCTCGTTTTAATGATTTGATGCTTAGCGACTTTAAAAGCACGTACATATTTATTTTACATGCCGTATTCTATATGCTATTGAAGTCAATGAACAGTAGCAACAGTCTTGTATTTTCAGTCAACTTGGAACGACAGACCGTCTAATCGCACTGTTTCGACGTGCCACAAGCGCCTATGAGGATGTCATCCGACAGCGCTCCTCTGTTCTCTCTGAGTCCTCCGATCTGGATTACATCGAAGGTGTTAAATTAGAAGACCTTGTCGAACTGCTTCTTGTTGCTTTGCAGTCGATGGCACAGCACTCGGCTGCTCGAGCAGCCATCATTGAAGCGCCTGATGGTGTTTTCGCCAGTTTTGTTCAGGTTCGTTTGCTAGGATTCAAGTTCTTCCTGGATAGTCGATACACAGAACTGTTCGATTAATTACTTTTGTTAATTTATTCTCCAGTATTTGTATAGTAGCTCGGAGTACCTCCAGCAGGCATCACTAAGTTTGTTAAATGAGGTCTCCGTCTGTCCTGAAGGCAGTCAAGCTATTGAGAGAGGGGGCGCAATCGCGAGGATCACCGAGTTAGTGCATTCATCGGATCCAAAAACAGGTTTGTTTTAATCGTCCACGTCAATAATTTATGCATTATTAGTGGAACTTTAGGAATTGAGGCGGTAGTCAGTAGGCATGCATGGGGCTAATGACAAAAGCTTTGACCACTATTTCTTATCAATATTGTAGCCACCTACAGTGCTTCAATCCTACACCACGTAGCCGCCCACTTGAAATCAGTGGACTATCAATTGCGGCTTTCTCAAGAATTGAAGAAGTCACTTCGTGATTCTGGTGTCCTTCCTACCCAAGAGACTCCCTTTAAAGTCGCCACCATGGATCAACTGCCCAACGGACCGGAAGAGTTACTTCCTAAACCTCACTCTAGAGGCAATCTCAATGAAATGAATAATGCTGAATGTGAGTTTGAATCTGCTCCTATAATTCTGACTCGGGGGTCCAGTTTTACGTATGCTTGCAAGTGAAGGAACGGATTCATATTTCAGGGCTGCATCTTTGGACATTGGAAGATAGCGAAGCTTAGCGAATGGATTAGCGTAATTGGCACGTGCAGGCAGAATGTACGAAGTCGTCTAGAATTCTAGTTATCTACATGACGAGGTGTGGCTTCGATTCACACGATTAATGTTTTGGGGATAATCAGTGTGTGTTGGCCCCACAAAATCAGTATATCTTCTTCTTGCAGCTTGTAACTTATGGCATCTTTATTCCCATGTGTCATGCAGAGGAGATTCCACATCTCTAATGGCTTGACTACATTACTCGCTGTGTTTTGCGTACCCACGAAGGTGTATTTATTTTCATCTCTTCCACAGTTGGAGACGGCAGTCGCTACTGATGCGTACTAAGTAACATCCTAGCTCATCTATTTGTGCATTAACCTGATCGCGCTTTCTTCCTCTGCATTACTAACACCATTTCATAGCACCCATTAACCGAATCTAGAAAATGTATTGGTGGCTTTGCTAGGCTCAGAAAACTGCTCTTTTGACGAATAATTCACATGTAACATTCCTAACTTTTGCAGTGCGGAGTGTTGAAAATGCAATGTCGTCTTAACTTCAAGGAATATGACTATTTAAAGGCTGGACTGGATGGACGAATGCATAATTCGGTGGATAGCTGAAGGATTGATCAACTGGGTTGCTAGTTTAATGTATAACTGGTTGAATGAGTAATTTCTAGAGTCAGTGCCTGAAGGTAAATGAATAGGGATGACTGAACAAATAACAGCCAGGTGGAACAATGGCTGAATGTCCTGATTTAGCTTTTATCTCAACTATTCGCATCCATTGGTATTTAGCATTCGCTTTTTACCTCAATCCTCCATCTTATTCCTGCTGCCTAAGGATTGCATTCTGTCCCCATCGCTTCTAAAATGCCAATTTTAAATGCACTGCACTTCTCAGTTTATCATTTGTAATAATACAATTGGCTTTTCATATCTTCTTTTTGCCTACGTTTTTTTCTAGGTGGGCAGCGTCTAAATAGCAGCCATCTATCGTTGGATGAACCTCGAGTTTATCTGGAGGGTCGAGAGGCCCCGCAAATGATTTGAGACGCCTTTTAACAGCAGAAAGAAAGCACCACTTTTACCGTCTTTCATCACTTTCAATTTTTGCACACTAAAGTAACATTTCTGAATACGTCTGTAAAGTTTCCTTGTCTGTACATCTCGTATGCCGCTGTTTTTTTTTAAAAGAGCACCTGATTATGCCTTTAGGTTGTACCTTTTGGCACCTTTGGCCTTGAAACCCAGTACCGTAGGGCAACTCGGTATATCCGTCTTTAATGAAAATCTCCAGATAAGGCTTCTATTTCACAATTGACACTGCTCTAGCTCTACGCTGTTCAGTCGTCCACCTTAATCGTTCTCAGTTTAATGGTACAGTTCTCACTCATTCAGTTGTCGAGATGTATGAGTTGTCGTGGCGTTGATCGCCCTGTTTCGAGCTTTCAATGCTTCAGTTATTCATAGTACGATGGTAATTGACCTATTTGTGAGGGGTGTTCCACCGACATAATGCGGATCAAGAGGTCCACTTACCACGTAAGGGGAATTTCAGTGGCAATATTGGCATTGGATTTGGCAGAGCGCATTGACATCACACACGACAAGTCCATCTGCTGGCAGGTTGAATTAAGAAAAACGGATAGGATTCGTGTAATCGGAACGAAGTATTCAGGCGTCAGGCATCACTGCTAAGGCTTCGACAGGCTGTTCAAGGGCTGGGCTTTTCGTGTTGTGCGACAAAAGAAGAGGCATCATTCAGAGTAGGATGGAGCCCTCTTCGTGTCACCTTAACTACCAAAGTTTGCCCTGAGTCTATGCCACAGTACTTTTCGCTTAGTCGAAAACTGTGGCTGTTACGATTTATTTTTCGGTTTTGTCTTTCCACTGGCTAAATATTGCCATATTTTGAAAGGCTCGTAGGCATTCCATAGAGACGACTGCCCCCGAAGAACCATTTGTTTTCCCATCGCATAGCATATGAAAAAAGGACTTCTTTCCTTTCCTCGACTGTCCTGGATGTTGGGATATTGTCACAGCTTACGCAACTACTTGAGCTTCCTTAGTTAAACCGCTCCCAGAGGTACTGCGAGTTTGCATTACCAAGAATTTGCTAGCAAAGGCAAGTTACTTGCTTGGAGATTGTCACATTTGACTGCTTTGGTTATGCACCTTGGTAAAGAAGCTGGTGTTCACTTCACCATTATTGTGTATTGTGTCTGAACGGCTCGGTGTTTCATACCCTTAACATCACTCTTCTTTATTTGTTGTCCATTTACGTTGCTCCAACTGCGAGCGTTGGTTGGAGGGGACGAGGTGCAATACATCTCAAGAAGCTGGATTCCACGGATGTCATCTCTTGCACACTGACCTCACTCCAGAGTTGGATTTCGTATACTTTGTATACTTCGTTTTCTTCCTTAATGCCTACCTCTTATTAATTCGTCTCGCTTTTTGTTGTCAGAATTGTTGGCGGACTTTATGCTCCCTTGCATTTTGCGTAATCAGTACCCCTTGCAAGCAGTGGAGAAATCAAACGGTTTCAGAGTTCTCGATCTTCTAGACACCGATCGTAGGCTTATGAGGGCTTAAATGTCGGTGAATTCGCAAACGGCAGTCACTCCTCGTGAGTGTGGATGTAAGTGACTGTACAATCGCAACGTTCTATATCAGCTTCATTTCGACGACGGGAAAGTTCTCCCTTCTTATCAGACAACAGTGTTGATGATTATTAAATTTTACTTAAGGCAGCCGTCGTGTAATTCGAAGCACAGTTGCAATGTGTATATCGGGTGACTCACCGGACTGGATCATGTTAGGCTCCAAGTGTTAAAGCCGAGCTGTCTTTACGATGAAGCCAATTGGTCGACTTTGTGTGTGCCTCTGCTCTCAAACATGCACTGCACATGCAGTAGATTTCTGGTATGAAATAAACGAGGAAGGTCTACACTGCCCTCTCTAATCCTGCATTTGAGGGTCACCACCACATATTTTTGCTTGTCACGATCCCATTTGCAAATATAGGACGACTACATCGATAGAAGGATTGTAAATAGGACACAACTTAACAAAAGCTCCTCTTAATAAATCTCTGTCCAATGCAAAGTGACGCTTCATAATCATTTTGCTTCTGCGTTCCCATCCAGGTAAAGTGACTCACGAGAGTGGAAGAAACCGTGGATTTACCAATATTCTGTGGATTAGTGGTTCATCGGTTACCCTTTTCTCCCCTCTCATCTTCATTGCGGCCACGAAGCTCATTCTGGTGTATGTAACACTATCTGCCAATTGTTCGAATGTCTCAGCCCCAAATAGACAGGTGGAGATAACCCTATGTCCTTGAGCATTGACACAAAAGGTTTTTAATCCTCCTAATTTCAGATTTCACGTTTTAAATAACTTTAACTCCGTACATTTTTGACGGCCAGCCTAATTCTCAAGAGCTTTCAATCTGTTGAGGATATTGCAAAGAGTAGTTTACGCATCCATTGCTTCTCTATTAACAAGGGCTTCTTGTGAAGCATATCATCAACTAGGGAGAGATCGGAGTCAGCTGCCAACCTAACGTTTGACAACGAAATCAACCTAGACATATAATCCAGCATGAAGTGAACGAGTTGCTCCCATTACTTTTCAGAAAAGACACCTTTTACACGTTTTTTTGTTGTTTTTACCTTAGTTAGCTTTACAATCACTCAAGTCACACAATGGGGCGAATGGCGTTACTGTTCACTTTCGCCTAAAGCTGAACCACGGCAAACTATCAAAGGAACTTCAAACTACCTTCTATGCCATCCATGGATCTTGCAACGTACGCCTAGGATTATTGTTTTATTTACACAGTGAAGTATATCCAAACTAGAGTCTCTACTCCATATAATAGCAACAACAGTATGATTGAATTATTTTGACCCCTTAGATCTTCTCTTCACGGCGGACGACATAATTGCGTGCCGATCGCCGACTTCAAAAAGTACGCCGTCGTAGAAGAACAAATGGATTTGGCAATACGACCCTCATAAATGATGGTTTCGCTGATGACCCCCAATTGGATTTGAATATTCTGTTGAGATGTAATGCGTTATAGTAGACATATTCACGAAAACTCATTTCGAACTGTCATGACAGATGGAATGTACCAAATAAATAATCTGTGCATCCAATACACAATATCGTGACACTGAGTTGACATTTACACCAAATGACTGAGTCGCAGGGGACCGAACACAGTCCTGAGCACAGCATGCTTCCCGTTAAGTAATTCGTTTGGTTCCAAGAACACAAGACCCACCTTCCTTCAAATGCAGCCCGTTTCGTTGGAATCCTGGCAGTGTATAATTGATATTTTTACCTCATCGTCTTATCAACGTCGAGATTCTGGATACTACCATGATTTCTAGATCCGCAAGGCTTGAAAGCCAAAGATCCCATCCAAATTTCGGTGGCCCTTGTATTGTTGTTTTCTCCCACAACGCCAAGCAAAAAACCTAGATGCAGTAACCAACTTGGTGGCAGAGCTCGAGCTACCAGATCACGAAATCAACGTCAATCGGTTTTCTCGCCTCCCTCGAGTTTATTAAAGTTCAGGACAAAAAACGAGACACTTCAAAACCGCCATAAAATATTCAATAAAGCAGTAAGGAAATTCGAAAATGAGTATCTGGTTGAAAATCGGATTCGTATGTACACAATACATTCCGGTCAACTAAAAAAAGGAAAGAGATGGCTACGGTCGAGTCCCTAAGGCCCCTTTTACAGGAAATGTACGATGTTAGGACAATGACTTAGAAAATGGCATCGCGACCGCATTCGGAACCGCAAGGAAATCAGAAGGACTAAGGCAAACGGAGAGGAGAGGAAGAGTAGAATCGGAGTGAAGAAATAGCAATCGACTAATCTTATCCGAGGTAGTAGCCTAATGGCAGCAAAGGGGAAGAGAGGAGCAAAACAGCAGCTTTACAAATCGAGAGATCTGGTAATTTTAGCAGCTTAATCCCGCTGAGTGTCTCGACTCCGTCGGTGTTCCTGCTGTTGCTCCTGAGGGTAGTGATGGTGCAGCCTTACAAAATCGACCAGATGACTGGGCAACCAATGATGCAACGATCGAGGCAGAGCACGCGCCGCTAGGCACTGGAGATTCACATGTCTCAAGGGGTGGAGGCCCGAAATCGCTAGTATCCGTGCGCACGCCCGCCCCCAAGGCCACGTCATCGTGTTGTGGCGCGTCGCTCCAACCCCAGCTGCTGCTGAACAGCCGCCTGTAGACCTAGCCAATCGAAGAGCGGAGGTCGTGACCGAGGAGGGAGAGGAGGAGGAGGAGGAGGAGGAGGAGCTAGAAGCGAAGGAGGCCATAATAACAGCAGCAGACCTTAGAGCGGAGCTAGTAGCTGACAAAGGATTGGCAGAAATAGTGTTCATTCCGTTATAAACATCATCACTCGCAGCGGTAGCAGGGGTTTCAGAAGCAGCAGCATCAGTGACGGGTCTGGGAGAGGGAGAGGTAGAAGCAACGGACCTAGTTGATGTAGATGGGGAAGAATCAACGTCCAGTGCTTCAGCCCTGCCGAAAGCGCCTCCTTCTGGCACCGTGTCCTCGCCAAAGGGTGGAGGCATGGCAGCGGCGTCAAAGTGAGCTCCACAATCCAGAACGAGAGTAGAAACCAGCTCCGCCTTCTGGGACTCAGAGAGAGCGTGGGAAGCAAGAATGCGGCCGATCGGACGATGACCACAGGCATCCTTAACGTCAGGATCAGCACCCACTGCAGTGAGGAGGCGAAGGAGATCCGCATGAGGCAGAGGCAAAAGATCGCATCGCACCAAGCGCGAACACGACGCAGCCATGTGCAACGGACTCGCGCCTTCGTGAACACGTGGATCTAGTCTCACCAGTCTATTCACCTGTAGGATAAAATGTAGCATACGTTCCAGGTGATTCCATCATAGAGCGCAGCTCGGAGGCATGGGTATTGCAAATTTGAAACTTTTAGCCAAAAAACAATCTAGTGTGCTAGCTAAATGTGCAATTGGAAAACTATGCCCATCGTTTACACTAAACTTATTCCCCTTCACTTGTGCATGTGACTTTCTTGAAGAGCACTCACCTGTCGGAAAAATCGCTCCAACAAAGCAGAAGTCATTTTGCTGCGCATTTCAGCATGCTCTGACTCCGAAGGAACGAAAATACCCCAAGCAGTGGACGCAGGCAATTCCTCCGAGGCCTCTGTGGAGTCAGGCATTGAGGATGCTGTTTCTGTGGGGGGCTCCAGCAGCGGAAATGTGCCTGAGAAGATGGGTGCCTGTGTCGGTGCAACCATCCCATTTGGGGTGTTACGCAATTCTTGCATTCGATAACGATGCAGTGGCGGAGGACGCGCGTCGGGCGGACAAAAGTAATAGGCAAGAAGCGCAATGAAGTGCAAACAGAGGCGTACGTGACGGTGCAGATTCGTCGCCTCTTTGTCCGCGCTCGTATACGCCCATGGCATACGCCCGTGCCAGTGGGGGTAAGAGTACTCCATACCTCTGGTTGTAATAGTGAACAGCCATCACTCCATCCCAACTCGGTTATGATTTTTTTAAGCAACAAAAACATATGTACAACACACTGTATAAAGATATAGGGCCTTTGAGAGGCAATTAAGTTCAGAAAACCCAACTGCACCTCAGCGCTCATTCCCACTATTGTGTTTTCAAGACCCCACTACAGTAGCGTCAAGAACGAACACAATTACTGGCGAGCTCTTACAATTTCCGATAATTAACCGATTTCAAACAGCACGAGATCATCTACTTCTTCCTGTAACCTATGCAGAATGGAAAAATGCTAAACTTGATTTGGTAACATATAGGATGAAACATGTACAGCATAGCTCTACGACAATTCTAGGACTGAGAGTTCATGCTTTGACTTAAGCAATCACTACTTGTAACTGTAGCTCAATTCCACCTCACCTCTCAATATTATCTACAGCAAGTTCGATGGAGTCGATGATGAGAGAGGGCTGCAAGCGGACAGCACGAAGGCCGGAGTATCGATTGGAGAGGACAATATTGTACAGCTCTGCAAAGGCCAAAAAGGAGGACTGTGAGACGTAGGAGAGAGGTTCAAGAAAGACCCGCTGCAGTTCAATTGCGTAGCGCCAAAATGCGAGGCATTGAGCTATCGCACCAGTGTCCGCGTACGTCGCTCCACGATAGCTAAATGGACGAAAAGTAATCCCTCAGTGCCCACTTAGCTTGAATCATCAGCACTTCTATCCTTCTACTTATTTGCTGAGATTTATTAATAATATAAAGTTAAGAAGCACAATCAGTTAAACTTTCAGTCATAAATTCATCAGAGTTACAATTAAACACGTGACTAGCAGGTGTGTTTGATGAACAGCAATGATTGAAAACGAAGACTTTGTAGACTGAGTGTAGCTAAAAAACTTAAAATTCCAAGCAGTACACAAACAGCAAGAGTAGTTAATGCGTATCTCCTCACCGGAGAAAATAGATAGTATCAGGGTGATCAGGACCCAGAATTCTCAATCGAATAAGTAAGGGTTGTAAAGGCAATGCGTAGGCATCCTGGGTGACGTGATTCAGTTCCGCGAAATCGGCGAACTCACGGACCAATCCGAAGGCTGTTAGGCTGTATCGCCGTAACCTCGTGATGAGCAGAGGCTCCGTTTGGGATGACGCTGGCTCCGATTGGAGTTTCTCTTCTGCTGCTTCAAATATTTCGCAAGGGTCGACCGCTCCACGCGAAATCGCCTCCTAACAATGGTTATCACCCCATCATGTGTCGACAAAAGTGGAATTTCACAAGCGGTAGAGAATGCAACAAAAGATCTCATACTGATACCGTACTTCAGAAACAGTGAAGTAACGGAGCCGATATGCCTCGTCAGACGCGATGCGCGATGGGATCTGAGGCGTGACATCGCCTGAAAACAAACAAAGGGTCTGAAGGAAGACCAAGTTTAGCTGTGGTAATGGTGTTCGAAATTGGTTTCTTAGCCCTTTTTCTGCTCCAAATTGCCGGTGGTGGCCTTGATTTTAAACAAGACAGGCATTTGTGATTATGCAAAAGAATGCCCTCGCAAATTATTGCAAGGGAGAGGGAGAATGACTGAACCAAACCGTTAAAATCGACTTCCTTGGTGGTGACGAAGGTACCACAGATTTGCATCTCAGAATCGGAAGTGCACTAAACTTTTGAAAACCACTGAACTTTACTTAACTTTAGTAAAGAAGAGCTCCTAAGGAGGTTTAACCAAATTAATGTTAAAGGACAAACTATTCATGTGCGGCATGCAATCGTGGTGCCTATGACTCCTCCAACATGAAAAGGTGGCACAAATGGTATTTAGTATTTCACTTAAAGGTCCGTCCACTCGGTGGAAAACTAGTCGGCTCACCTTCCGTGCCTTCAAGTGGGCGACGAATGTGACGTGAAAAATGGGGGTAAAAATCGGGTGCCACACCGAGCACTGCATCAACGGCTGATCTGAGCTGTTGCTCAGGTGACTTCAAGCCATCACCTGTCCAATTGTGGCATGTGGACGAATCAGTCTTGCAAAAGGAAAGCAGTTGTTCATACTTCTGCGCTAATAATTCCGCCCGCGCAGCATGTCTAAATGGAGCGATGAATGATTTTAAACCAGAGGATAACGCTTATTGCGTCCTTGCGACCTATGGACTTTAGTGATAGGCAAGTAAACCATGAAAATCACAGACAATGAGTGGAGAAAACCCACTTTTTAGCCCAAATGGGATCCGTAATAATGGTAGAGGGCAGCGGTGGAGGAAGTCTTCTAGTAAGGTCAATATCAACTTCATTCGCTTTAACGTTAGAGCTCCCTCTCCCCCTCTCCTTCTTTGCCATTTCCAGAGCAACAGCGTTGTAAGCGGTAGCTCGAATGAGGCTCCAAGCATAGTGATTTCGGGCAGCTTCGTCTACGGGAGGTAGACGCTTGGTGTAGCCGAAGTGGGCTCGCCGCAATTTCATTGCATACTGCCACTCAATGACTGCGTCTTGTACTCTGGATTGTCTATGCGGTAAAAAAAGCAGCAGGTATTTCGCAAAGCAGAAAATCAAATCATTTTTCCCTAATTTTTCAAGTAAGAATATCCAAATAAGGAGGGATTTGGTATAAAAAAAGGTTACTGAAAATATCTTTAATAATAGACAAGTCTAGAACTAGGAAATTTCAACTTCTGAAAACGGAAATCGGTGCCTAGGACATGCAACAACCTATCATAAAGAGAAGCACCCAGGAGTTCGCGTGCGGCAGCCTGCTCCTCAACTGGAACGACCATTTCGCCATAGGGCGTCCGTAGATCGCATAGATATTCCACAACCTGAAGAGCACAAACAGGCGTAAGCCGCAAAGCAGGATGAGGCAGTGTTATTTACTTATTTAAAATAAGTAGAAGCAAAGTTTTGACTGATTGCGATGTATTTTAAATGAACCTTATGGAAGATTATTGAGGAGGAAAAGACAGACCTTTTTGTAAGCAGAATTAGCACCTGAAATAATAGGCGTCTGGCCATACTCATCAGGCCGCATTAAAGCACCATAGCAAAGTAGGAGGGTTAGACTGTCGAGGTTGCCGCTTTCTGCGCAATCGTGCAACGCCGTGTTGCCTGGACAGGAGATTAAATGAAATTGATTGCTTCACTACTTTTACGAACAATAAAGGAGAGCATGTAAGGATAGTTAAGAGAAAAGTGGCGATGAAATCAGCCTCACGAATTAACTATCTGAAACGCGATCCACCTTTAGCCGATCGTCGGTTGACACGAGCCCCCTTAGAAAGAAGGTATCTGACGACCCTTTCGTGGCCACGGAAACAGGCAATCATGAGGCACGTGTGCTCGTGCCGATTCGGTGTCTCAACGTTGGCTCCTTGCTCAACAAGGTAACGCACAATCTGTGTGGAAAGCAAGAAAAATGAAGGACATTGACTGGCGCACTCAAGGGTATCATGCCTTTCCCTTCTCCCACAACACCCTCTCCCTAGTTCCATTCGAGTATCATTCAGCCAAGACTATTTCACCTTGGCACCCAGAACACTGCACTCCAGACAGACAAATGACTGACATACAGCGAAATTTTAGTTTAAATTAGAATACAACAATGCTCAGTTCAGCTTCACGGTCTCTCGTACCTCAGCTTGCAAGCCACAAAAACTTAGGCAGGCGATCATATAGCATTAAGGTTGAAGTGATGTGCTGAAAACGGCATAAAATTTGGAGAAGGGAGCGATGAAGGAGTTGAATACAGACTATTTTCATTAGCAAACATTGCTTAGTTATGAATAATACAGTGACTAAACCGTTAAGGCGAATTATAGAGGAAAATTAACAAGATACCAAACGGCTCTTAAAACTGCATGCGCGTTATTCCCGATCAAATATGTATGAATCCATCGCCTCCTTCTCTGATTGGTCACTTGAATACTCCGAACTACCAAGTGGTGATTGACGTCGATGAATTACGATTCGTAAAAGGGAGTGAGATATGTAGCGCAATAGAGGCATGAAACTATTTTACTTGATGCACATTCTATGCGTTGCAAATAAGTTCACACCACACTTTACTATGCCTTCAAGGACGGTTTGAACATCAATGGAAAGGTGCTGGCACTGGGTCTGTTTTCATCCTCTTCTCACGCACCTTTCAGTGAAGAAAGCTCAAATGGGCAGAGATTTGGATCAAGAATCGAATAAAAACGTCCCATTAGCATTAAGTTAGGCTATTGCGATTTATGTTCGTGTTGTTTTGACTATAACGTAGGTTGTAATAAAAGTGGCACATAGAAGTCGGGGACACGTGCCGAAACAAAGGAGCCTGGAATAAACAAATGCACAAACACTACCGGATATGTGATTGAGAGTTGGCCTTTTCAGTTAAAATTAATTCACCCCACTTTCCGAACACCGCATCACCTTACATATTGGGGTCACATAGCAATAATAAGTTTTATCACACAGTTCAAACTAGTGATAATTTATTTATTAGTATGCTTTCCCATCGTTCTTTCCAAAACAAAGCGTTTGCAAGAACCAAGCCAGAAGCCAAAAGGCAAAATCACGAAAGAGCGGAGGGCATAAAGTGACTTAAGACTACAAGACGAACTTTGCCAATAGACTTTTGCGCGAATATGGGATGCAAGATGGCGGTGGTCATACTCTTTAGCTTATGCCTTATAGAACATTATGTGAAATTGTCTGTCAGGAGTACCCGTGTGACCGTCATTAGGGTAAATTACTTCACCCTTAAAAAGGGTTCAACTGCGTGGAAGACGAGCGGGCTGAGATATATGCGGTTCACTTAAGTGGAGAGTTGACTTAGATCCGCAAATGTTCCAAAATTATTTGATATTAATAAAGACAGACATCGAAGGCGTGAGAGGAGAACATAGGTACAGAGAGAAACAAGAACGTCTGTAAAGAATAGTAGTCATGAGAAGATTGTAGCATTGGGTAATGAGGAGAACGCTGAGGAAACAGGAGAATTAAAAAGTGTTATGACAATGGCATTTGCTGAAGGCCATAAGATAGATGCCACAGAAGTATGATAGAGGATAATAAAAAAACACGGAACATACCGCCTCGTGACCGTCAAAGCATGCAGCACGAAGAGCAGTAGAGTTGGTAATAGTGGTGCGGTTAACGTCAGCACCACGTTCGACAAGGAAACGCACGATTTCGAGATAGTTAGCAGCTGCAGCACACCATAATGGTGTCACACCTTCAACTGCTTCACCATCAAAATGCACGGTGCCGACCTTCCAAAAAAGGGCCACAGAAAAATGACATAAGCGTTGCTCAAGGAAGGCCACTCATACATAAAATATTCAGATACAGGACAACACACCTGCTCCATATCCGCCCCACACTCATCCACAAGATACTGTACGATTTCAAGCTTTCCTTAAAAGCAACTAAAGGGTTGATCTTATTTACCATTTCGACAGGCAGAAATCAAAATGGTTTGCCCGGAACTGGTGGGCGTATTGATGATGGCAGAGATGCTCCTTCCTTTACGCTCTGCGTTCATAATATGCCGCTTTAACAACTCCATGTTCCCCTCCGAACAAAACGTTATGAGCTCCCTAACTTCTACCATTTTCTCACACCCAAACGTCTGCATTTTCATCTGCCAAAGCACTTCAAAATGTAGACATCGATTCGGACAATTAAAACTCTCGTTAATTAAAATAATTACTCGGTGTTTTCAAAAATTTGTCTCCGTAGTAAAATTTGGTACAACCTAAGAATTTAAAATACTTTGCATTGACTTGCGCAATTGTATCCCTTGAAGTTTGAATACATTGTATTTCATATTCTTTACAATAAAAACACTGCCCATTTATTGTGACTTTAATAACTTTATAAAGTAACCATATTATAAAATTTGCCAGACATTCCGGAGCATTAGTGATTGGATTTATCTACATACTTCCACCGTGTTTAATGCCAGCTTTGGTTTGAATTATTTGTTCAGGTACAAACGCCATGACGCGGCGCTATAAGGCACCTTCAACGTATACCCAGGCAGTGTACGGCAGGCATCCGTACGGCCAGTCACCATTGTACCTAGGGAAAATTATAATTGCTTCCAGTAGCGCCAGATTTTAGCAACTTACAGGAAACGCTTAATCTTGCGTCCTCTCCTGCCCCTTTTCGTGGTTTTCTTTTAAGACTCTCAACAAAATATGCTGCCTTTCTGTTGTTAAGTACTGATAAGAGGGTTTTATGCCTTACTCCTACTTAGCTTGTGCGAGGTAGGCACGCCCCATGACGATGCTAAGACCTCCTTTATTATCCATAAAAATACAACTCGATAAATAGCAGTCCACCTCAAGTTGGCTTTTTGACTCTACTAGTAACTCTGTTAAAAGTCCTCAACACTTTTTGCAAAATCAATTACTCTTTTGGACATTTTATTCATTTGCTGCAACTGGTAATACTGAACGCCACACAGGTCTAAATGCACAAAACAAACGTTGCTGTCTAAAGAAATACATTTCTCAGTCATCCATTACTGACCAAGTACTTTGACCGAAAGCAAAAGAAACATGACATCTCCACAAGTAACGAATGCATGTCCTGCGTCGAGGCAAGGCAATACGAAATTAACCCGATCGAAGAAAGTCTAGTAGTCCGAGTACAGCGTTTCGCCTTCCACAACATCTCCACACCGCATATTCAGTCCTGAGTGCGGGGCTTTGCTCTTCACCTCACTCGTCTCCTGCACTTTGGAGCTGGGAAAGTCGTCAAACAACTCCACGCACGTTCGTTCTTCCTTTGCGTGAACATCCGAACGTGCTAAATCAAGTTGGACAGCCAAAACTTCACTTTTGTCTACCGCCATTCTACCTCCATCTCAATCAAGCTCAAGTTTCATCTTGACATTAATAATCTTCAACCGTTTTCGCCATGTTTTGTGGTTGCTTAATAAAATCGAAGCGACCATACCTGTTGCTACGAAATTGATATTGTGCATTTTCTTTTTTACTTAAAGCTTGGTATAATCGCTTTTACCTATTGCGGTCTTACTTCTTCATCGAACCTTATGACTGCCTTCTTGCCTGAAAATGAGTCTGTATGAATAGGTTCCCACCTGGACCATGATCGCCACAATTATTGATCGAGGGTTTTGATGATTTACAGCAGACCTACTTCAAACTTACATTTCACCAGAGATGGCGCACTTCTGGCCATTCGCAATGTTCTCACTGGTAGGGCACAGCTTTTAGACTTGGGTAGTGACTTGGCTTGATACGCGAATGATGAGTCGCTCGCTGATGAGTGGAGATAAAAAAGTACGTGTAAAGTGGATGCAGGCATAGTCAAACATGGGCTGCTGATCTGTCACTTTTCCCTGGTGCGAGTAAAGAATTAGAGACCATTCATTATGGATCCTTTCTAAAACTCAAATGGAGAAGATACTCACGACTGTCGCCCAGTAGAAGATTGATAGCTCTTGCAGGCCTTGCGATGAAGACGTCGCTTAACGACGTCGTGCTCGAAGGGTTATCCTCTTTCTGTCTAGCCGAATTGGCTACCCGTGGTTTGGGCCTAGGATGCTTGTATCCCCGTTTCTCTCTCTGCAATGCAGGTCAAAACGCTTTTTTCGCATTCAATCACTTTCACGCATTAGATTAAATCAGATCCGTACGCTCTTGGCTGCTGTGGGTTCAGTAAATCCTCATTTATTTGTCTCATACATCAACTCACCCAACCATCAACCCTACCTGTCTACAACAAACCTGATTCCCATTGACCTTCTTTGTGGAATACTTGGTGGACCTAGTAGATGTGCCCGAAGTCAGATCACGTGTAGGCTTGCCAATTTTTTTTTGGTTGTGTGTGTAGGAGGAGGAGATGCGTCTTTGATTGGCCTTGGAAGCGGTTTGATTGACCTTATCTGCGGTCATTTGGCAACGAAGTGGTGTCATTATGCTCCGCAAGGCCGTTTGAATGAAAAAAAGTTGTTCTTCCTCCGACTTGGTAGCTAGTCTAAATTCAATCTAACAAATGAACCTGACAAGCTTTAAGAGGGTGTGGTAATGAATAAAGTAACCACAAACCCACTTGGACTTTCTTGAATTTGCCAATGTCTTGACAACCTTCTCCACCTCTGATAAAGTTGCATTCAGGCGCGAGTAGAGGTCGCGAAGGCTCTCGGTCTTCGGCTCCTCCGTGTTTTCAAGACGTTTATGCTGAAGTGGGCACATGTGGTATCAGCGGAAAATTTTCCAACAATTTGGGTTGTGTAACACTCGGAACTACTCAGCCGACAAAGAAAATTCTACAGATCAGTTCTTGTTTGCTGAGATTAAAGGAGAGGGGAAATGGTACACCAAGACAGTCATTGCATGAGCCCATCCAACCATCACCACATTTAACTGCCCTTGCCGTTAGAGTTTTCACCTGTTCACCTGCCATGGGAGGTATTCATCAGGTGATCTCACGTGTTCTGTCCGCATCTTTTCATCATGCGGTGATGGAACGATTAACTTCCCTATCAATGCAATTGTCTAATAATGATTCTAACCAGCCATCCACTCAATCCCACGTCTAGTGAAGACGATTGCGTTCAAGAGACAGTAGGAAGTCTAAATAATGCATAAAATAGAGCTGGTTCGGAATTGGTTTTAAAAGCCTCACTTTTTTCCTTAAAAAAGCGCATACATACAGAGTAGCGCATAGGATCTGGAGCACCTGTATGAAAATTTCCCTCTGATGGTAAACGACTGGAGATGAAGAAGCACTTCAATCTAGCAACAAATAAGCAACCAAGGAGGGCAACTAATGGAGCATATCATGGCGCAGAGAAATAATTGAATGAAAACCTATCTACCACTCTTCTGTCTCTCCGCCATTAGTTGAATTTGCAATCGTGAGACCAACATCTGAACGAGGACAGTGGAGAAAGAAAGAAGTCCAGTTATTGGACATTGTCAACCGGGATTTTTTCACTTCATTTTTCCTCTTGATTCCACCAGAAATTAGTTTATAGGACAAATCAAGGCTATAGTCAGCTCATTGGGTGCGCATACGCACGGCTATCATCCTTCAGCTACGATGGAACGGAAGTTATGAACACTTTCGTTACCAAGGCATTGCATATCTATAACCCATCACATCGCAGATGAGGGCCACAGCTAATAATGACTGGTGAGCGGACACGGATAACAATGCTTTGAAATGATTAATAGTTGCAAGGTAATAAATACGGACTCTGTCTACTCGTGTGCCTAATCGGGCAAGAAAAGGGTGTCGTTTGAGTGGTGGAGATGACGAAACTGCTCCGATAAACTGCGTCCCTAATTCAGAGGGCTTGGAAGGAATATTGCGGGCCGGAATTGCCTAATGTGGACGTCGGCATATCTAGGTGGGGATGGGAGAGGTCGGCGGAAGTCTAGCTTCAAGCCACTTTCCCTTATGCAGTACGATAACCTGAGATCCACGCTGTAATAGACTTTACTCCTCCAGTCCCTTTTCCTTTGAATTTATCCAGGTACTATGAAAAAATGGTAAACCAGTAGATTAATCACAGATGAGGTGTAGGAGAATGTCTGAGGCAAGACCGAGGAACAGCATGATAAATTAACGCACATAATGACTCGTCGATCACATTGTTATCGTTGTAACACATTATTCCTTTAAAAGTGTGCTTTTGCCCTCGTGTTTTCGATGTGATATACATCAGAGGCATCTCAACGAATTTCCGAAAAATTTTCCAGACCTTGAATCACTGGGACAATCACACCAAAAGTGAGTACAGTAAATAGGATAGAATGCCTGTTTCGCTCCTTCCTACCATGTGTTTCCTCAGCTGTTGGCGCAGTCGGATTTCGGGAGGATCCCCCTTGCCTCGACTGGAGGTCCCCTTGGCGGAAGTGTTAGCAGAGGGTGTCAAACTAACAGGAGAGGCACCCTTTCTAGTATCTACAGTACCAATACTCGAATTGGAGGGTAATGAATTTCTTCGGATTAACAGTGACGATGAGGGTGGCAAGGATGTTCCGTTTATGAATTGTCTTGAATTCACCAAGTCCATCCTGTTCAATGTCCTCATAAGACCGCGTGGAACCTTGACCAACGCCTTTGATTTGACACTGGGAGAAATTAACACTTTAATAATATTAAAAATAATAATGATAATGGGCAAAAGGAAAATTAGTGACTAGGGTGACAATTAACGGGGGTTATTGAGATAAACGAGATGAAATGCTTGAAGGCCGAACACTTCACCCAGTTGAAAGAAGATGACCAAAGGCAGCGAGGCTAAGTGGCGCTGAAATTCAACCACGAGAAACTGCCACCCAGCGCGCAATTCGTAAAACCCTTTCTTGTGAGGCAAGACTCCTGACAAAAAGTGGTTTGTAACAAGAATGCGTTTGCCAAAGAACAGCAACCAATCTCCAGTTAGGCGAAAAATGCTTTCCTCCTACAATGCAGTCGCCAAAGCAAATGCAACAGTTGAATACATCATGATCTGCAAGAATCATAATGTCCCATAAGCCTGGTATAAATTTTTCTTTAAGTGCTTGAAGTTGGACCAAGCAGAGCTTTTAAGTAGACCGAAAAGGTGGCCATCAGGATGGATGCCCCTAGTGAGAACCGCTTTAAATGGGCTGATTTATGGCAGAGGCAATGTGTACTTGGCTGTTGGCTTAGTAGAAGGGAAGAAAGTTGTTTTCGTTTTCATTTTCATTAATAAAAGAATCTAATCGTCAACCAAGATCCCCAGACGAAAGTTCAGGTGTCACCCTGATGCCTTCTACTATCTGGGATTCATGTAAGCAAGGGGCTACTTCTGGGTAATCGAAGCAAGGACAGTTTCGAGGGACGCCGTAAAGTTAGGTCCGATGAGTATAACCTTCAGTCTACTTTGTCTTCTCCCTTTGTGCCAGAGTTATGCCCCAACGCTGAATAAAGCTACACCGTTTCTGTAACAGGTATATCAATACTTCTGGGTTCTATAAAATGGATGGGATAACATTGAGAAATTGGACAAAACTTACGTGGTGTCAGTGTTGCGTCTAGCTCTGGCTGCTGTGCGCCACGGTATGCCCCGCACAATAACGTTCTCGTCTTGCAAATTGTTATTATAGTTGGATTCATCATCACCGCCGAGGTAAACACTTGTGATGCGTGTAAGGCCAACCTTCCAGGGAGTGTTTTGAGCTGAGGCGCTGGCCGAACGTGATAGGCGAGATTGACGCGTGATTAGGCGTGGCGCTGGCTGTGGTGGTTGTGTCCCACTGGCTAGACGCGGTAGACTTTGAGCACGCGTTTGAAATAGTGGCCGAGAGGTCAGTGGTCCTCCTGGAGGCTAAAATAATCAATAAAGAAGTTGGTAATTGGCATTGACAGCTAGTAAGCTGAAGTGATTGTGAGCGTTTGAGTTAAAACTAGACCTTTTATTCGATTTGGATAATGAAGGGGGAGCTGAAACGCCTCAGAGAGCCTGAAATAATCAGTGTTGTGGAGCATGCCAACGATAATACCTCGTGGCTCATGTAGACAGCTACTAGCATAATTTCTAATGACATTTGAATGCTGGGAACGCCTGTTCTGAGCATGTCAGCTCGCAATAGTTTTTCCTTCCGAACTATCAGGTTACAAAAAAATTTGGTTTTGGACATCTACATGTGTCACTAGGTTGCATACAAAATGAATCTTTCCAAAAGGAATAGTAAACGCACTCACTCAGGAGCATTAACAAGTCCATAAAGTTGCCATGAACTCAGTGATATCAGCTAGGCCCTATTGGAGCGATTAAACCAAGCCGACAACTCTCTTTACCCAACAGAGTTCCTTAGACGGTAAATTAACTCTGCAAGCAGAAGTACCAAAGTCTAATAGCCGGCCATGTTTGTGACCACCTGCATGTTTGGTGGTTACTGTGATATTCGTGACAAATTTATACTCATGGGCTGGTCTTCAGGCAAAGCCAAAGTTCAAAGCCTTCTTCTATCAATAAAATTTGTGTATTCAGCCAAACTTAATGCCTTCTTCTACCTAATTAGAAGTCTGGAGGTGCTACAGTGCTGATCGCTTCATTGCTAAATTCGAAGCTTCACTCAGCGATGAACGTCACCTTTGTGATCCCGCTGCCTGAATGCTAAAGAGCAGCATTACAGGTGGAGGTTATCCGATAGAAGAATAAAGCTTTACTAAACAACTCCTTATTATTCAAATATAGTACGGCAATTAAGGAAGATCAAGTTGTCAATTATGCAAAAATGGACAAGTTACCTCATCTCTCCCAAAAGGAAGCACGATGGGAAAATAGGATAAGAGGACGCATCATAGTTCGACTTTGATAGACAGAACTGTTGGCGTGCAGCTTCATGATGGCAGTAATATCTTGCTTACTTTTGAACTGGCCGACTTTATGCCTTAAGATACCCAGCTGCTAAGTCCCTCAGGTGCACGTACAGATGGGAAACTCTGTGTTGATCTGATTTTAAAGATAATTATATGTTTCCTTGATTCACCGGATTATAAATTAAAATATTTTGTCCTCAACAATTTAAGTCAGAAAAGTGATTTCGAAGCGTTTTAAGAAGGGAAACAAGATTTTCTGGAAGGCTTGCCATGCAAATCATCAAAAGAAAATTACAATGTACGCAAACATGTCTTCATATTTTTGTCCGAATTTTTACTGTGGTAGTAAAGAAAGTCACAGAGACCATCTAACTGCAAAATAGATACCTTGTATCTTGTTTAAATACATTAAGTTGATGTTACAAATGGGCGGACTAATGACAGGAAGGCGATCTTTTTGAGGAGTACTAATAGGAGCGATGAGACCACGGGAGTAACAGCCCTTTGTGCAAGAAACTTGGAGGGAACAGGTACGGAAAAGAGGTTCGAAAGCGTTGATGGGACGTTGTTTGTAATGAAATGGTGTTAGAGTGCGTGTTTAGAGAATCTGACAATTCTGGCGCCCTCGGCAATGTGTAACAATCTGCTATTTGTTGTCTGGGCGATCTGCCTGTGCAGACCCTTAAGTCTCTATGAAAGTGTGCATTAGTAATGATGAGCTGATCCCCAAGTATCTCTTTAAATTCACAGAATGCCTGAAAGCTTGTTAGCACAAAACCAAGACCATGCCTTCGATAGCAGGAGTACAAGTAGGTGTTTTATGCAGTCAGTGGTATCGGCATGCAATGAGAGGCGCATAATTTGCTATTCATAGCGACAAAGACCCTGATCTCCAAGATTTAATACGCCTGACAATGAGTCTCTGCACCTACCCCTTCTAACTGGACCATAATCCAGTTTACGCTGAGGAGGAAACCAATGCGAAGGCCGACAAACACATCTGCCAGAGATATGACCTACATACTTTTAATGTGTAAATTCCCAGACGGCACTGTCTGCTGGATTTGTGAGCGGTGAAGAGTAGGCCGTCAAGATTCTCTACTTTTTGTCCTACAGTCCACTAGACGACAAATTTCCCATCGCTTTGATAACCATCGCTAGTATTGGGCCGTTTCTTAAGGTCAAATATGAAGAGATCCCCTGACAATATGATAAACGCCAAAACCTCCCTAATGAATGGAAATTCTTCGGCTGTTTGCTCATTATACCTAGCAGCCTCCCTGTCTTCTTTAATTCAGCTTGCATTCTAGTTTCAAAACTCTGCACGCGGCTTGCATGACCTCTAACTTCGTGAAGAGCCAAACAGTATGCAATTTCAGGAGACCCACCCTAAAGTTTGGTCTTTGTAGAGGTCGTGCCACAGGAATGGGTTTGGGTTGATAGGTCGGATTGGTAGAGGAGGTACGTTTTGGTGGTTGAGGAGAATCCAGGTCCAATCGCAACACGCCTTCCATCCCTGGCCAGTCGGATACTCTGCCTCGATTCGCTGGTCTGGCTAGTGCTCGCAACCACTTGAACTAAAGGGGCGTATTAGTGTCCTAATTTTTCCAATGCTCTGCATATCGGCTCAATTAGGAATAATTGAAGGGAGTGTATCCTGATCGGTGTGACTTCTCCTTTAACCCATTAGTAAGAGAAACCTCTAAGAGAGGTCGACCATACATTCTTCCTTACTAACTATGGTACTGACTGCAATATTTCTGCAGTCGTCACCTATTCTTTGCACGAAAATAAAGGCAGACAAGAAGATTATTCGAGCTTTATTAGTCCTGCATGTTTAGCGACGTAATGAGTGATTACCTAGTAAAACCACCTTTGCTAAGAGAGATTGAACACATGTTGGCATTACATGCCAAATACTAAATTTAAAGACTACAAATAAAGGTGCGTAACCCACCTCCAGATGCTTGCCATGCGAATTGGTGAGGACGCGTTCTGTCACAGCTCGGAGAATATTTCTGTCTAAAAACGGTAAAGAGGAGTTCTTTTAAAACCTTTCTTCATTCACCAAAACAAAATCCTACGTACAATAGTGTTTATATGATCATGATTTGTAGCAATATAGGCTACTTGTAATGCCCATAACTTGGATGCAGATTGACGATTAGGCTTAAATTTCGTGCCATTACGCCCACATTAAAAGGACACCTCGAGAGAGATAAAATCCTGGCCATTTGGCACAAAGGGTTGCCAGGCCATACAAAAAGTGAGACACCTATGCTGAGGTACTAAAGTGAATCATAAAGCCCCTGCTCCTTCCCCCCCACAAAAGGCTGGTTGCAGCGCCATCCTATTTTTGGCTCGATTTAGATCTCGTGTGTCTCAAAAATGTTTCGGTACTCTCGGAGATCCTCTGCGAATGGATAGTGTCGGATCTCTACTGATTTGTAGTGAATTGGAACCAAAACTGTTCAATTAAGTGGTACCATCAAACAAACCCATTTTTTTATTCCTTCGCAAGTCGACAATGCCCAGAGTTCGATTGCCCGCCATTTCGCCAGTGCCCTTTAAGCCCTTGGCAGGTGCCTTGAGGAGATTTAACCAGGCCTGGCCCGCGGAGTCACCAAGCCCACAATTTTGCAGGTCAATGGCTTTGACCCACCTATCATCTCGCAGCACCTCACACAGCAGCTTGGAACCGTTGTTGCCTATATGAGGGTTGTCATTCAAAGTTAGCCGGCGGATGCCACTCATCGTGTCCAGATTGGGAGTTTGATAGCGCAACGATTCTTTCCACATCTCCCCTTGGCGTTGTAGTGCATGTGCCTGAGAACAAGGCAGTGCAAAGCCCAGTGTATTAAGTAGAGCCAACAGGAGTATGAAGTGAAAGTTATGCGTCCAATCCGGTAGCAAGATCACTACGCCTATTGCGTCACACCTATGTGTGACACACATCATATGAGAAAAATAAGGTATCGGCGAGACTGTAGTGACTATACTACTCCGGCCGAACTGGTGGAAGGACTGATGAACTGCCTCTCTGTATACAGTAATCAGGAAATGCTATAACTAAAATGGAAGGATAATTTGTTTAAAAGTCGAAACCTACTTACACGAACTAGCAAAAGTGGGGCAGTTAGACGACCGAATTATTTGTACATTCTACTTGCTTCACTTTTTAAAGCAGAAGTTGTTTTGCAAAGTAATAAATTAGGACAGTGACTGCACACTCCACGGCAGAAGGAGATCACTGAGAGCTGTGAATGAACAACAAGTATTTGCTATAAACAAGGGACCAGTAGTCAAAGTTTTACAGAAAAGCATGGTTTAGATTTAAGTAACTCCATTGATTTTCGAGATGTTTTTGTCAAAAAATTAAAGCCAAAGATTTGTGGTTCAATCCAGCACCTACTTATTTAAAAGAATTAGTACAACCTATTTACCCTAAATTTGCATAGGTACAGGTACAAAAAGAGGAGGGATGAAAGAAATGAACAAACGAAGGGAATAAATTTTGGGCTCTCCATCGTTTCGATTTGTAATTGGCACGACGAAAAAGCTGATGGAAGAAATTATCCCACTACCGAGTAATTGTTTGCTTTGCAGAAAGAATTGCCGCATTGGTGGAGTACATGCTCGTTTTTGGTTATCACTAGGCAAATCAAGTACAACTGTATCCACCCTGCAAAAAAGGCAAAACTCCTGGGAAGAGAGAGCGGGGAGAGGAAGGCTGGGGGAAGATGGGGCAGTCATGTTTATTTTTCCCGAAGATGAATACCTGGTGGTAAATTGATTTAAACCACCGAAACAACCAATCAGTGGCGCCTGAGGGGGCGTTTTATTGTACCTCCCGAAGGTGGCCAGTGGAATGAGTAAGAGGTGGTGATGGCTGCGGAAATGAGTTAATGGACCACAAAAATTGTGTAAACATTTCATTTCTTGTATTGCTCACCCCCTCATTCTCTTCCTCCTCCTCCTCCTCGCCTTTTTAATGGTAAAATGGTCTTCGCTCAAGTCCGAGGAGATACTAAAGGCGGGTTTGAAAAACCTCCATAGTGGTGCAATCACGCTCGAATGAAGAGGGGTTTAGCATAGTCAAATTGATGAAAAATGCGATCCCCTTAATGCTTGACTTTCCCAATTTATAAATTGAATTTCGTAAACAAATTTTCCTTTAAGTACCTTAGGTGTAAAAAGGGGACGAAACTTTCTTCACTTAATTTGCTATTACAGATGGCCAAGAGGCAGGCAATTCGGCCATTTCGACCATCCTTTAAGCAGAGTAATTCAAAGTGACATCGCATTTCTGATTTGACGACAAAACAAAAAAGGGAGAATTTATCAGATGAAATAATTTTAGATGATGGTAAGAGGGTTGAAAAAAACGGAAAACAAAACGGAGGTAAAAAGTTTTTGGCAACCTTGCCAATCGTCCAAGAGGAGGGCAATGAAGAGGGCCCTTCCAACACTCTCAAGCCGAAGAACGAATTTATTAAAAGAAAAGTCGAGTTTACGTTTTTTTCTGTCAGCGCGTTTGAAGAGGATGGGAATGAATGCATCTGAATCAGATCTGGTAAGATCAAATCCTTAAGTTGGTATTCCAAGGGACTTGATACTGGAGAAAGTCAAGAGTCATCGAAAGCAGGTTTCGCATCCGCCCCTGTCTCGGACTGAAGACGGTGGAGTGGAGTGTCTGGAAAACCAAAGGTAGGGGGATTGGGGAAGGGGAGGTAACCCAATTAGCAAATTGACCTAAACGAAGGGGAAGGATTGGGAGAGCGAAAGCGGCTATCATTGATGCAATGGTAATAAATGACCTTACCCACTGCTCTGTTTTCATTTCAACATGAGCGTAGAAAGGCTGTCATCAGTTGCCATTTGGGAGTCATGGCTACTCTTACTCCTCAGGAATGGCTAGAAACTATTACCGGTAGAGACTAGCGATTTCCATCATTTTGGCGAATATCTCCCTGAATAAATGCCTTATATTACCTAAGCATGTATCCCTTCGTCTCATCAACATTGGTGTGTTCAAACTTTGTGAGCTATCAAATGAATAGGAGAGAAGAGTAGTCTCGGAACCCTAAAGAATAAAAAGGCTACTTAACTAAGAGTAATCGTAACTAGGATCTTTCAAAGGTTTGGGGGCCCCCAACTTGCCTATGGTAGCAAGTCTTCGTAGGCTATGGAAGAGAGAATTCAAAAACGGAAACGGGTGTATATGAGTAGTCCACAAGAAGCAGCGAACTAAAATCCCACTCTTCTTTCCTGAGTCAGTTTTTCGGTAACATAGGCATCGAAACCGTCACAATTAAAAATAAACAACTGGTCTACCCATCATCCGCCATGTCATACGACGAACCATGATGGCATTCCTCTTTCATTCCTTTCATCACTTTCTTCAAGAAGTTAAAAGAATAAAAGCCACTTGATCATCCTCCATCAAATAAAACCCCCTATCCTTCTCACAGAAGATGAATAATCAGCCTTGTTATTGGAAAATGATTTAATAATAGACTAAAGAACTCTAATTCCTACTGGATCAGTGAGCAAAGGTTGAATTTGTTTCCTTGTCAAAGCATTTATTAAAACAACATCACACATACTCGCCACTTTTCGGTATGCAAGGCAAAAATTGGCGATAGAAGCATTTGCAACTGCTCCGACATTGGAAAAACAATCACCCGTACTGGGTTCCTCTTGAATGCGCCGATAGAGAAAGGCAAGCCTCGTAAGTTTTAGTATGATGCTATTTTACCACCAAAAGGGGGTGGAGAAGGAAGCAGTCTTTAATTGCACCCATCAGCTTGGAGCCAGTGAAAGGCGGGTTCGGTAATTTCTAGAAATTGGCTGTCAGAATAATGTCAAGAAGCACCTTCGAGCGCTTCATCGATGAGTGCAAAAGAAAAAGAATCTAATGATAGTAGTGCTGACTTGATTGCCTTCTTCCCTCGCCAGTGTTAAAGACAGCGAGAGCAAGTGCACATCACGGTGCTTCGACATACAAATGAATGGCCAAAAGCTTGTGTATCTTTTTATTCGTCTAAGATCCACTATAAACTCTGTTGATCGAATGGACTTTGAATATATTTTAATGAACGGGTTTAATCGCAATAAATTCTTTCGTTACTAGCAGAGTGGAATACTTCCAAGGGAAAGAGGCAGAAACACGGCAGTCTAGTAAACGAAGCTCATTAATCGGAGAAACTCCGAGCCAAATCATGCTGTAAATGAGCATGGTAAAGGGTGTAGAGACAAAGAAATTGTCCGTTGTTAGTGTAAATCCACACTGCGCCTGGGCTGACCGTTCTTAATCAACCCCTGTGCCACATAGCAGCTATCATAAAGTATTCATGTGACTACAAACTGGTCCACACACAGATTAGACGAGGTGAGAATCAAGTTTAAATTTGGCTCGGGATTTCGGATTTTCTGGATCACAGCAAATGCTGCCTAAATATTAATCTAAAAGATTTTCTATTAAATGTGTTGTTAAGATGTTTAGACAAATGCAGCAAAACAATGCATTTTTTATCCCAAATATTATTAATTCCCTTTTTGGGTAAAGTTGGTAGCATTTAAGCTGGGTACTTAGGGCAATCTTCGGGGGTGAATTATCCAACCCCTATCGTGACTGCCCACTTCGAACGCTGATTGGCTTAGCAAAAATTAACCAATCATATCTTGGCATGGTACCAGAATATACTAATCGCCCGACGTGAGGATGCTAAAGTCGCAAATAAGGGCAAATACAAATGAGTGAGCCTTATTTCCTCGTTTTTATTCATGCTTTTTTGCCTCACAACCTGCCACACGCTTTTTAATAGCCTTTTGTAGCCTTAATTTTTGACAGTTGACATCGAAAGGCTTGAAGGGGAATTAAGAGGTTTTAGATGACACGTCGACTACTTAAAATATCATGGATGGAATGACAGTAATAATTAAGGAAGTAAATTGACATATTTGCAACATTAGAAGTTGTAAAGATGAAATGCATCTTTTAAATCTCCCTTGTCAGTTTGGCGCACGAGGTTTCCTGCCCATGACTGGAATTACAATCTATTATTGTCAGTTCACAATGATCGGTTCTACCGAATTTCACCCACTCCTCTAATTCGATGGATTAGAGGTGGATAAAATAATGAAGTTAAACATCAGCACTCTAAACCTCTAAATAATTTCAAGCTTTTTGGGAGATTCTTGAGGCCCTTCTCGAAAAAAAGAGCGGCAATTAAGGCCACGCCAGAGGCACAGGCTAGTTGAGCAATTGTTGCCTCATGTACATCCGGGACACTGCTAACGTGCTCGGTAATTAAGACTGAAACGCGAAGTGGAATCTAATTTAACGATGAAAAACGTAGCCAACAGAATTTATGAAAAAAAAAGAGGCTAAGAAAACAAAACAGACCATAAGAGGGTGCTTTTGAGCAAGATTTTTCCATCTACCACTCTTTACTTCATAGATGATGCTAACGGTGGAGCGTTCCGTTTAGACGTTGAACATAAGGTGAGGAATTGATACCCTTCCATGATAAATCTGTCAAAAGTGAAACAGTCTATTTCCCTCGTCCCCTATTGTGGACTAAATTGTGGTAGCTCACTTCAGATATATTTTGCTGCCAAAAATGATGAATTGAAATGCGCCTCGTTTTATTTGTTATTAGAATACTGTTTACGGTTCCGCTCTCCTACCCACGTCTCCTCCTCACCGGTCCTTCACCCTCTTCACCCAACCCCCTTGGCGTTTGCCTTATGAATTAGTTAGGGGACAGCGGAACACTGGTTAATTAAGAAATTCCAGACAGAAAACATAAACTTAGTCGCCATTTTCCTTACTTTAACGCTTTGTTTGAGAAAGGGGAGGGGGTAAAAGAGGAGAACTTAGAACAATAAAGACAGTACGTTACAAGTTGTGCACTTCTCCAGTCTTTCTTCTCTCTATCCTCCAATGCGTGCGTATATGTGCGCAAGTTGTCTTTGGCATACCAAAAGTGAATAAATCGGATTCCCTAAGTAGCAAGTTTCAAAAATTTTAGCTGCTCAGCGATAAAGCCTCCACCTTAAGAATGGAATGTCTACAGATTGCAGAAAAATGAAAATTTATTCTGAAAGAGAAATCCACCCTTTTACTCGGTTCAATAAAGGAATAAAGTTGAGTTTAACGCCTGCCACCGAAGTATTTATTTTTGCGAAAGCCACATTCATCTTGGCCAATTCCACCTCATTAGCCTGGGATTGGGGCAATACCTCATCCCCCCACCCCCTATCCCCTTGTCACTGCTAGGGCAAATTATCAAGTCCCTCCTCTTACCTGATAACACAAGATAACGCAACTATTCTTTGTTTTGTTCGCATTTCTAAAAAATCGCTAAATTCTTAAGTTTTTGTCTGAGCTAGAGAAAAATACTTTCATGATTTAGTAGTTCACTTGGTTATCATGGACCGATTTCAGGGGTTACTTGGTCTAAAATATAATATTTTTATCAAAAAGGCAACTTATTGAGCGAATCTGATTAAAATCAAGAGTCCTGTTTAAGCGAACCACAGACTTGCAAAGTCGGCATTGATTATGTCCCTCGCCCCCCGGCCTCTTCCCCTCCCCGCTTCCTCTGGTCTGACAATGCCCCAATCTTGGCCATAAAATTCCTGTCTGTTTCGCACCAAAGAGGATGCGACAAGAGCAGGAGAGTACACGTGTGGTTATCAGGTGCACAACTCCCATCGGTGGAACTGAATCCCCTCCTTCTCTCCTCAAAGATGCTAAACATAGAGTTGTCCTCTTCTCACAATGCTTTAGACAATCAACCATTGACTTGCTCCCAATAATCAAATGCCACTCTCACCGCCTGTTTTTATGGTCAAATGTATGTACTCTAGACGACTCTACCAACCAAAACATTAGTCTACCACGAGGGAAAATCATCTATCAGCATGAGGGTCGACCGGTCCTGCCTCCAGAAAGTGCTGATGAAGTGTCGCATTCAAATGACGGCCCCTTTTTGGCGGTTATTGCTATCGGAAGTCTGTTCCTTCTCCTCACTATCACCACACTTGCCGTCAGTCTTGCCTTTTTGCGTCAACACACTCGCAACGAGCGCCGCCTAAGGTGCGGTGACAATGCTTGCGTCAGAGGAATTGGAAGCAGTGGTGCAGTCAATGAGGTGGATGTTTTTATCAATCCCAGCAGTGAATGGCGTTGCAGTCTAGACTCGGACAGTTTTGAGGACCTCTCGGACATCTCTATAGAGGTGGATGTGGGTGAGGAGGAGGAGGAGGCGCAGGCTAACCAAAGGGCAGAAGGAAGAGTAGAGGTAGAAGGATACGCAGTTGAATGGGTCTACACAAATCCACGCCTATGTCCAAGACATTCACAAATAGAAATGATCCAAGGAAAGAGTTTTATGACATCTTCCATTGTGCATGACGTTTAATAAGGATCTCTGTCTCTGTTTATCCAGTTTTATAATTAAAAAGATATGTCAAAACGTATTTTACTTGTGTTTCCATTCTTGACAGGATTCACCAATCTTACCAAATGGTTGCAGTCGGCTTCAGTCGATAGCGATTGTGATAAAATCCACACCAACAGAAAAGACACTGTGGTTGAAGGCGATGTAGGGAAAAGACAAGAGAGAGCTAATGCATCCTTCTCCCTTAAGGGGTGATTGACACCCGAAGAAGGGATTGGTGTCCAACAAACTAGACGGTTTTTTACCTCTGCCTGTCACTGAAAAGGAAGGGAGGGAGGAAACCCGACATCATCCTCCTTGGCAAACCTGCACAATTTGAGAGTGGTGAGGGACGTAGTTAAAGACCTTTTAAGTTTCTGTCCAGTTCTTGCCCTTCTTTAGGGTATTATTTTAAGGCGGAAGTGAAGGGGAGTAAAATGCTTAAAGGTAGGCGTAAACAAAGTTGGAGTAAAATTTGATTATTTGTCCCTAATGGATGGAGCTTCTCCTCCTTCACGAGTTTGGACTGCCAAGTTGCATTGTCCAAATCACAAGATGAAATAGGAAGGGACCAGCCTTTCTCACAATGGACTACGTGGGGCACAACCGTAGTTGGGGATGGGGAGAGTGTGGATGGGATGTTGAATGTCCTTTCTCTCCTTTCCATTATCACAATCCTCCAAAGGCTTTAAAACGGTTACAGCGTGAGGAAGGATTTGCTTATGATGCTTGAACGCATGACAGCTGCCAGGTTGACAAGTGGGTGAGAGATGGACACTTCTCCCATCTCGTCTTAACCCAATCAACCGGCCTTGCAAACGCAAGGGAATTGAATAGCTTGGAAGTATCCAGCATCGAAACAAATCTCTTTTTTATTAAGAAAGATGACCTGCCTCACATTCTCCGTTTGAGTTCAGGACCGTGACTTATTAATTCTGACAGATGTTTGCATCAATTCTTGGCAAAATCCATCTACCCAATCCGAAAATCAAACAGATTCAGAGTTTTTAAAAAAAAGGTGACTAATGTTTCTACAGGCAATGAAATTTCATTTACTTTATCCTTTAAAATCATCCATTTGCAGGTGCAAACAAGACCCACGTCCCCACTAGTCACATTCCTCCTTTCTTTGTCTACTCAAACAACATTATCAAATTGAATGCCCTTTTTTACCAAAAAAGGAAATTTCGCTTTATGGTGATAATTAAATCAAGCTAGTTTGAATTTCATCCTAATATTCTTGCAGCGGTGCATTTTTTGGCCACCCCTTGCACTTCTAAATATTTCAACTACCTTGAAAATTCAATCTTTCCTCCAATTACGGGTAGGCCAAGCGTAAAGACACTAGCCGCTCAGGACTCAAGATCCAACCATCACGGAAATTGTTTCATTTTAAACAAGAAAAGGAACTGCCAATGGGAAAAACTGTTTTAGACAATTCACTCAGCAGGTAAAGGGTATGGCGTGGTGGATGCGGTTGCTTAGGTAGCTCATTCAAGCAGATGGTGGGCTTTGATAAAACACCGACCCTCGAGCTCGGATGTGCTATTGCACCGTTTATGCCTAAAAAATTACTGCCCTACATTTTTCTGAGGTATGGGTAGCAGATAGTTTCGTCCCACTTACCTACTTGTGTGTTCAAATGGCAAGGTCTTCACAACCCTGTCAAAGAAGTCCCCATTGTTTGGGGGTAAATAGTCTTGGCGGGCTCTTTAATAAAACATAGGGTTCTTATCTTTGATCTGCTTGACTATACAAAAGCACTTTGCCTTCCTCACGTGGATTTTGACGGGAACCGGGGTGTGGGGATGAGGGGAGGGGAGCCTTAGCCCCACTCTTATCTATACGACAGTAAAATGCTTCAAGTTTTGTTGCTCTCCCTGCTCCTTTTTTATGCGGTCTATGGGCAAGAAAATTTGCTCATTTATTTTGGCTAAACCAGGAAAACTAATATGAAATGCATAAAAAATTCAATTTTTGAGCTTTTGGAAAAAATAATTCCTAGTGTCGCTGAAATACACATGTCTCCAACATTTGATGTGATTATTGCTGCTAAAGATTATTTATAACCCGAGTAAAATGCATTTTCTTCCTTTTTTAAATCGCAGCACAAGATGAAAACAATGATAAAGCACAAAGTGGTCTGCCAGGTTTTAATTGCATGAACAAAGTGATGACAGTGACCTTGGTGAAGGGTAGACACGAGACATTTCTTGTACCGTATGGATGCTTCTGACAAAATTGAGTAAAAATTCTTGTTGGTATCTAAATGATGCATTTTAGACCTTGACTTTAAATAAAAATAGCGAATTTCCCAGATAAATACGGACGGTTAGGTTGAGATTTGTTCTTATTTAATTGCGTACCTTACTAAAACGACTGCACCAGCTTTTACGTTTTACAAGAGAATTTTTGATCGAAGTAGAGGAGGGCTGGAAAAGTGTAAGTTAGCACTTGCACTAATCACTGCTATCTTTTGCGCAGAACATGCTTACTCGCTAGAGTATAAGTAGTGATTCTAGTGGTATAAAAGGAGTGCATACATGGAGGAGATTTACGATCGGCCGTACTCCGTTATCACTAATGCCACAACCACCGAGATTGAGCGCCATGACATGAAGACTCTTCTTCAAAGCAGCGCACAGTTCTACATGGGAAAACAACGGTCTTAATCAATTTAGTGCATTGCAAAAGTCATCAAGCGCCAAAACCAGTACCTAAGAGGAATCATCGGCAGCAACACAGATAACGGAGTCAATTCACCGCCACTATTCATCAAGATGCAAAGCCATAAAATCGTGTAATTTATACCTCAACATGATGCAACAAATCAAAGCGATTTCGCAAAAAAATTAACATATATACCATGAAAAATGAACGACTTTTGTGGCTATGGAAGACAAGCTTCTAGTAATACTTATAACACATCAAGAGACCTGTCAGAACGGGAAAGTCCAGTGCGTTAATTTTGCTTATAGTCAATACAACAGAGCCACATGTCTGGCAAGCATCAATTGCGTTTTAAAAATGAAGGCGTAAATTTTAAAAAATAGCTATAAGACAAACACGTCACCGGTAACAGCACCATCTCCTATTTGGCTGTTTTCAAAAGACAGGAAACGCAGATTTCTTGCTTTTATCAGCCCCTAAGGAAAGAGACGAGTCAAGATATAAGATCTAATCAGTGTGTGGGTGACGAACCAGTGTTTTCCACGCGAGATAAGCAAACAGCGTACTTGGCATAAAAGCACAACGTCATCGCAGGCTAATGGTAAATTTTGGAGTTCCAACATTCGAAGAGATTGGTTAGCAGTGGCAGAAATTAGAAGTGACCGACATACGTCCGTAAGAACTTCCGGTTGCATAAGACTATTTAGTCTCCTCGGTAGCTTGGTTGAGTCTCTCCGCTTATCTGAAGCAATGCAAGGCAATATTAGATGCCCCACCATGAGCATATATACTGGCGCACTGCCATTTAACATACTTGGTTTTTTGTAAAGCAAGCTTCGAAAAGCGATTGTTTGTGTTCTAGGAAAAACCTCCAGGGTACGGAGAATAGCATCTAGCTCCTTACGCCTAAAACAAGATGAATTCAAGTCTGTGGGTACAATACCTTAGACTGTCTACATTTATATCAACGATGTGATCTTGGCCATGCCTCATGACACGCTTTAAGGGCCCGGTATCATTCTGTTCACACATATATTTGTAGGTTCTAAAAAAATCGGGTGATTTTGCCGAACGTGATCTCGGTGAGACGGCCATAGCGATTGGCTGGGATCATATATATGTTGATAATTTCAAATGTTCGGCTTGTTTAACCCTGTTGCAATAAATTAATATGATTCGTATAAACGAATACTATGCCATGCTAAAAATGAAATAGTTCTGTCAAAAAAAATTACTTATTGGATTGTGTTTTGCAGTATATTTTGTGCATAAGCTCCATTTTGCCTTCTCCGAAATCAAATTAAGAACGTATTTAAAACAACAATGCAGGTCTTTAAAAATTCAAATGGTGATTGCAATTTTGACTGTTTTGTGTTACTACAAGCCTATTAGCCCTACAAGTATTTTAGACCGTGTAATTATAAAGGTTACTCAGTAGTTGATTTCAATTTAAGGTGGCAGTTGCAGGTAGACTTCAAGTACTTTAAATTTTTCTATTTCAATACGTTTCACTACTATAGTCGGACTATCTCTTGATCGATTTATTCAGAAGACTACGCAGTGCAAGAGATACTAAGTGAGAGTATGAAGGGAAGCTTTTTACTTTTCGGAATCATGCCGACGTTCTCCGCAGGCATCGTTCCGATTATATTAATCCGCTCTCTATGTTATTCCAATTTGCTTAGTATTATAAAAATGTGCACATATTTTTGTCAGTCATTCACAACCAAATTAAAGTTAAATGGCTTTTTTAATGGTTACTTAATGCAAATTTACATAAAACGTAGTTTTGCATTAATACCTGTGTGGCGGTCCAAGACTTCCTTCACGTAAAGGCATCACGCTGGGCAGAATACATGTATTCTTATAAAAGAAGAAGGAATAAGGTCTTAACATGGGTCGGAATTTCAGCCCACGCGTACAAAGTCGAAACATTTAACAAAGCAGCCGCTAGTTAACAAGTGGTTACATTCACAACGTGTTGCAACATCATTTTACTCCTTTTTGAGTGTTCCTTTTCAGTATTCGTTTAGACTCTTCTCCAAACTGTTACCAATAAGCAACGTTTTTATTGTTTATTAAAGACTTTTTGTGACGTTTATCTACACATTTTAGGGCAAACGACATAATGTTTCAGCCAAATTTTGTGCTCTTTGAATGCATGAGGTTGAGGCTGGTGGCAACGCTCGCAGATCTACGCACTCATCCAAGGCAATATGGCCACCCATGTGAAAACCCAAACTTGCAGTCAACTAAACGAAGCAGACCATATCCTATGATAATGGGATTTTCTTTTCTTTTTATGTTTTGAG